GAACGCAACAGTGCCGCCGACGTGTTTTATTCAACACGATCTTGTTTTAAGAGTGAAAAGTCATTAAACTGATCAGAAAGGTGGTTTGGAGCAGAGCAGCAAAGCAGCTGGTTATCAAATGCAAAGCATCAGCCAAAAGGTCAGCCCTCACACTTTTGCATGAGGTTATATATTTTTCATCACATACATTAAGTTTCAGTCCCAGTTCATTATTAATAAGTGCAGGGTAGAGGTGGCTGATGAAGAAGGGGATAGGCAGGATATAAAATGGGCTCAACGCACATTTCCTTGCACCCTTTTCATCCCAGCTGCTAATATGGATCAGATTAAGGTGATCCCTTCAAGCAAAAATGTTAATAGAAAGTATGTTTCTACACATTCTGAATTGTAGTTCAGTTGATTTCAGGCCTTGCACTGGTTTTATGATACAATAAAACTTAGCATTTATATGTGAGTCTTGATCTTTGTGTATTACCAGTTTCTGACTCAATCAAAGCTTGAACATCTTGTTATTGGCAATATAACATTGTGTTCCTAACCTCAGCTCCACACAGCAGCTGCCAGAGGGGGGGGGGGGGGGGGGACCTACAGGTATGTAAAGTGATGTGATTCCTGCAAAAACCAAGTGGCACATGAACTGAATGTAGTCATATCTCCCTACAACAGCAAACCCAGAGGCACATCTGTGAGTGGAACAGACTCCTGATGAATCATTTAGATTTAAAGTGTCTAACATCAGAACATCACTAAAAATAAAAGTTGTTAAAAATTTACAAAAACAAGGACTGTGCGATAATTAAAAGGTGCTGTCTTAATGAAAAAAAAAAAAAAGTCATGAACCTCTGGATCTAGTGAAATGTCTTTACTGCAGTTTGTTGATTAACAAAACAAACTGCATCTAATCACGCCGTCAGTGGGCGATTGATTCATTTACAGGAGTCGCTCGCCCACTTATTGATGCTTGTTGACCAACTGATGAAAGATTATTGTCTTCACTTTACACCTCTCGGTTATCAGTTATGGGATGTAATAAGCAAATTAGAGCAGGGCAGCGACTAGAGCTGCAGCACTGCCATCAGGATCGAATGTCTTGAAATTAATCAAAACCCTACAGGGAACAGCTTCCTGTTAAAATAATCTACAATAAAATGAACTCATGATCAGATTTATTTTTCAGTAACCAGCATTAGATAAATTTGTGCTTTAGAAGCTTAATCACTATTTAAAGTGCAGCTGTCTGTGCTGAAAAAAACATTGCCTCCTAGATTTTATCACAGGATTCAGATCATCAATTAGACACAGATAACTTGAGTATACAAAATGCAGTTCAAGTGATTTTTTTTTCTTTTTTTGAGAAAAGCTATCTAAACCAAACAGACCTTGTGTGAAAAAGTAACTGCCCCCAAACCATTTCTGATTGCACCACCCTTGGCGTCATCAACTTCAATCAAACATTTACAATAAATAGCAGAGTCCTTCACATCGCTGTGGAGAACTACATGCTCTTGAACTCGAGGTCACGAACTGAAGGTCGGAGTTTCTTCGTCAAGCTGCTAGAAATCAAAATTCATGGTTCCATCAATTACGGCAAGTCGTCCAGGTTCTGAAACAGCAAAGCAGTCCCAGACCATCACATCACCACCAGGTTTGACCGCCAGAATGACGTCACTTTTTCTGAAATGGAGTTAGTTTTACGCCAGATGGAACTGGACACACACACCATCAAAAATAGAAGAAATATTTAAGGTTGAATATGTTTCAATGCACTTTTATTTTTCATAATTTTATTCCTTCCTCTCAGTCTGAATGGTGTGAGTTTATGAGTTAACATATCAAAACGCTAATGCAAAAAAGGTTGAAGTAAAAAAATGTACATTTTACAACACTGATAAGAAACCCACAAACATACTTTAATATCCACTGTGTTCATATTTTACCATTATTCAAAAAACAAACAAAATTTAAATAAAAAATAACTCAAGAATAGGTTTACAATAGCTTATTGCCAAGTATAAATGTAGATCCGTTCTTCACATTAGTAAAATAATAATAATAATAATAATAATAATAATAATAATAATAATAATAGTAGTAATAATAGTGTCATTGAAGTTGAATTAGGGTAGATGTAAACAGGGAAACTGAAGGCAACACCAGCAGTAATGTAAAGGTTTAAGAATAGCTCTAATTGTAATTGTTAAAATCTAGTACAGTACAAAAACCAAAAACATGCATGTTAGGCTGATTGGTAACTCTAAATAGTTCCTAGGTGTGAGTGAGAGAGTGAATGGTTGTTTGTCTCCATGTGGCCCTGTGATGGACTGGAGACCTGTCCAGGGTGTCCCCCGCCTCTTACAGTGAAGGCTGGACATGGGCACCGGTGATCCTCACGACCCGAAAAGGAAGAAGTGGGTAAAGATAATGGATGAATCGTATAGCATAACTGTATTAACAACTTTAATCAATCCAAACTAGGCATCAAATTCTGTAAAACCTTGAGCTTCAATTAAAAAAAAAAATCATATAACCAATCATTAAAAATCAGACTACAACCGTACCTAAGCTTTTATGTAGCAAGTTTGCACACTTTGTTGGGTTTTAACGCTCAGTTAAAGGAAATAAAGTTTATGGATTTGATAGGGACGTCTCTCAGCTCAACATCTGTACAAATGTCAGAGTTGTAGCCATTCCTGTGTGCTGATGTCAGTGTTGAATCAGGGTGGCACAGACAAGGTCAGCTCCAACAGATAATGCCAAAGTCATAACACAGACCTCATGTAACAGGTCTCTCTTGTAAAGGAGTCCTTGCAACCCAATGAGACTAACCGGTATAAAAAAAAAGGTTGAATGAACGTGACCAGTTATTGCTCAAAATGCATGTTGGGGTGGAATCTGCTGTTACGCTAAACTTTGGCTTGATATTTGTAAAACTGACACAGTTACAGCCATTTTTGTTTGCTTATGTTAATTAGGTGTGGGAGCCTTCTCCAACCTGCCTGACCCCAGAACGTTAATCAGATGCAGATGTACGTCCAACAATTACTTTCAGAGATCATTTGATAGCAAATAAACACCAACATTAGGAAGATTAGTGTTTTGCTTATTTAAGCATAATCGTATTTGTTTTGAATGCATTTTTTTGTTGTTGTTAAGAGAAATAAATGGAAATGTCAAATAGTACAACATAAATAGCCTTTGCCTTGTCTTTGTTATTAATATTACCTTGAGAAGTGTAAGAGCACGGAGCCAAAAGGAATCACAGCCCAGAAAGTGAACACTGCTTCTAAAACACATTGTCAGGTAGCTGCTTGTTGTAGATCTGATTTATTACAATAAGAGCACCATTTGTGTTTCCGTCACACACCCATAGAGCCAATTGTAGTCTGTGAGAACTGCGGAGAACATGGCAACAAAACTGTACTCTGAGAACTCTACTGAATTTTATCACGTAAATCATATTCAGAAAGAAAAGCTGAGTAATAGACAAACTTTAATCCAGTCTCAAATGTAGCTGGTTCTGATTTGTGACGTTGCTGCTATAAAAAGTGTTAATTTAATAAATCTAATTAACTTACCTTATTTTTCTACTCAATTGAATAAAGTGAGTATTATTTATTTGGTAAACCTTTGAAAAAACAACAAAACTTGTTTAAATAAAGTGAACTACAGACCATTGAGGTTTACAAATAGTATTACATTTTATTAATATATTTTCATAAAACAAGTTTAAGACTGTATCAAAAACTCAGTAAAAACATTAGATTTTTTGAACCATTTTTGATAATGGCGATATCAGATATGAAATGTACATAATTCACATATTGTAGTGGATCTTGGTTCTCTGTCACATTGAGATAATGCTTTATCTTTTGTGATAGGCAAGTAAACAATCTTTTCTACCCTCACAATCTATAAAGTTAGATTTTTTTCATGATTGCAATCATAAATCTAGACATACAATTAAAAAATAAAATAATTTCCCAATCAAGTCCCCTCCCCACTTTCCCAACTAAATTTACTGATAAAAGCATCAACAAAATGAAGTTGTTTCATTTCACAGGCACACAATTATGTACATCCCCCTTTACCCAATACCTCACCCGAACTGACAACAGGCAGCGCACCAAGTCTAGTAGTGCAACACCTAGAGGCAGAGCAGTGATAATACAGTACTCTAAGCCTCCCCTCACACCAATAAAACTGACTGAAGACAAAACAATGGATCCCCCTTATTGACAGATTCTCAGCCTGCTGTGAACCACAGCATTCCAGTGCCCCCCCATGTTATTGTTGTAGCAACCCCACAAGGTTCACCTTGTGACCACAGACATCACCTTGGCAACAGTAAAACCAGTCATCACACAGGCAGCTTTAGTGGCACAAATTAACAAAAAAACAAAAAATAATCATATTTAGGCTACATCTACAACAGGCAGATCTGAGTAATGTCTTTTGTGATCAAGTACCAGAGAAATCTCAGTCACATGGCGGATTCAAGGATACATTTTTTTTCCTTCTTATTCGTCAGTCAATTCTTTCTATTCTGTGCAAGACACATAGTGCGAGGTTTAACAAGAATTTGCATAAGTGCAAGGTTTGCATGTTATTATCAAGAGGGAGCAGAGGAAAATAACAGAGGCTGATCAATGTCTGATAACGGAACCAATTTTTGAGTACAATGTTTCATGCTTTAAGTTTGCCATTTTGTATGTCATCCCCTCTAGATATAACAAGTGCAAAATCTTAGTAAACCTAGCTGAAGGGCAGATAAGAATGATTTAGAACTCAAAGATTAACATTGTGAGAGAGAGCCTCAAGTCTGTTGTCATGGTGACATTGGCACAAAGGCCCAAAGGACTTCAGTCTTTGCTTCTTTATTATTTTCTATACAATAGAAATAGGAGATCATTGAAGATAAAATTGACTCCTCTTGGCAAAAAAATAGACAAATAAAATGTAAGAAGTCAAAAGAAGACGTGAAAGGAAAAAAAGTTGAGTGGTGAAATTACCTGCGACTGTTTTATGATCGTACGTTACAGAGTGCTGTCCATGATCGGCAACTATATATGGTGCTTGCTCCTCTATAAAGTCAAAGCCATTTCATTGATCAGAAGTAAAATTATTCCTGTAGTAGTTTTTAGAAGCACCCCCACAGTACACCTGCTTTCCCCACCTAGAATCCCAGGTGTGGGTTAGGGAGGCACATAGGGAGGTGGTGACCTGTATGAGGTCATATTTTTGGGCCGTGAGCCTTTCCCTTCAATGGGAACAGTAAAAGGTGGTGGGGGCTGGTAAGGTGGAGCATTTGGATCATCATCTTGGTAAACTGAAAACTCCTCCATCAAATCCTGGCTGAGTAGGGTACTGTGTGGGCCAGCCATGTTGGGGTACTCTGGAGGAGGAAGTGGAGGCTTTTCTTCCTGAAGGATAAGAGGAATGCTGGAGGATGGAGGTGACTTGGAATCATCTAACTCATCAGCAAATATTATAGGAACTCCCTTTTTGATGAAAGTGGCCTGCTCTTCAATGGTCATCTTTCCTTTGCGTTTCTTGCGGTAGCAGACCATGGCAATGATCCCAGCTATGAGAAGCAGTGCTGCTACCACTACGGCAGGAATGACTGTGTGCAGGTAAACGTCGTCATTGGTCCTACGACCTGTGCCAGGGGATGGTGTGGCTGAAGGAAGAACAGGCATTGGCACCTCCCCTGGTGGAATGAATGAGTAGCTCTGGCATTTATTAATGCCACGAACAGAAATGTTAATTGGTTTGAACTCAGGCTCCATGGCTTTAACAAAAGCCGGTTTAGGTGTTCCATGAGGATCTGAGATCCTTTCGCTAAGAACTCTGATTTGATCTTTAGGACAAGGGCTCTGCTGGAGACTGTTGTTGGTCCATTCCACCACAATGGATCCTTTAGTTATGCTCCTCAGAGTCACTGTGCTGCTGTTTCGATCACCGAGCGCATAAGCCAACTTTTTAGTCAAACGAATCTTTCCATGGACATCATTGCTTAAAGTTTTTGGATCACCATAAAAACGAGCAGCAAACACAACTGATGGTTTGTCATTGTTAGACCAGCGGTTGACTTGAACTTCAAATGCATCCATGATGCTCTTTCCACCCTTATCAGTGGCCAACATAAAATACTCATGATTCCCCTCATGTTTCTCCTCTGGAAGGCCGTACAAAAGTTGGATAGTGCTGTTGAATTGTATCCATGAAGTTTCATTCACGGTTTCTTTGGGGGTCTTCTTCAGAGTCAAACGCAGCTTGTCAGTGGTACCGTCCTCTCTGTCATAGAATGCATCTGAAGCAATTTTGACCTCAAAGTATGTACCAACCCATGCTGTCACCTGATCAATGGGGTTGCGGATCTCTGGGATTTGATTGAAATCTGGGATTAGAGAAAGAGGGGTTGTACGCCGGGGTGGTTTAGGGGTGGTGGACTTTGGTTCTCGGGGAGATGGGGTGGAGCTTTTGGGTTTCTTAGGTTTCCTAGTGGCAGATGGTTTAGGTCTTTTGGTTGCGCTTGGTGGTGTTGGCAAGGCAGTGGGCTCTAGAATTGTAGACCGAGTCATGCTAGGCTGAATAGGAATGGTACTTGTAGTTCCTAGTACCCTGGTAGGTTGTGGAGGTTCAAGAACAGGTGTATGAGCTATTTGATCTTTGATCCTCATAGTAGGCTTCACTGGTAGAGGCAAAGGGCCTCGGACGGGGGGAGCAGAGTTGTCTGTTGCTGGGGCTATAGAGGGTGAAGTTGGGGTAGGAACAACACGTGAATTGGGCTCTTGGTGAATAGATGGAGGAAGCAGAGATGGCACTGGAGTAGGAGTATTGTTCAACTGTCTCCTGACTCTCTTCACTCCATGGGGCTTTTTGTTAACAATATGCCAGCCAACCACAGGGTAACCCAGCCTGGCTGACATTGTCCCATCTTTTGCTGAAGACTGGACACTGCTAATGTCAGGAATGCTATTCTGATCGAGGGCACAGCCAACTTTCCATGACAGCAGGGCCCCATTCTCAACAACTTTCTTAGCATTTCCTGGTCCAGCCATGAAAGCAGACATGTCAAATAAGCGGTTGTTGACAACAGGAACCACTCTCATGTGTTGTAGGGGTACATGAGAGAATTTTTTCATAGCCTCCATTAAACTGACCCTCTGGTCAGCAACCATCTTTGTCAAATCAGCATCCAGTATGACAGTGAGGATAGTGACCAGCTCCTCAGAGCCACAAGTGAAAGGTTGAAGGCCAGTGACTTCAGACTGTAGAGTGAGCAGAGCTGGCTCATTGTCTGCCCGATCTTCTGGGTATACTTCAATAGTAAAGACTGTACTGGTGTACCCTTGACTGTTTTCCTTTCTGGTCACCTCTTCTTCTGACACCAAGATATGATAAACACCTTTATCTTGCTCCAGAGCCAAACCTCTCAGAGTGCAGCTTTTTTTGTCCCAATATAGCCAGGAGGGTAAAGTCTTTTTTCCCATCTCAGTGAGCTTTAGGACAGAAAAGAAGACAATTAATACTTTATACATGAATATTGCTGACATAAGTCAGTACAAAATTACAAGTCACTGCTAACCTTCACTACAGCACTGATTCATATCAAAAGAAGGTATAACTTAGAATGGATTAAAAAATGAAGACGACATAAATACATGTTATTTTGCAATAACTATCATATATTTGGTTTACTTTTAGGCTTACTGGCTAAATTGACCATATTTAACCCTGCATTTACCATAAGTGTTGTAAATTGAGCAGGCTGCCCGTATTAAACAACACTAATAAGTCTCAATGAACTGAAATAAATGCAAAACTGAAATGTGTTGTACAAAAGATAAAAAGCTATCTCCCCAAATTCTGCTCCCACTATCCCATTCAGTTTATCAAATCATGGCAAATTGAAACAGGAAGCAGAGTGAGCTTCTATTCATAATAACCATGTGAGTCATCACTCATTATTTTGAGTTATTACCCTATGACAGGATATCATTCTGTAATGCCATTCAGGCCAATAATAATCTCATCTCGCTCATAAGTCTGACTGGAACAAATTGCAACACAGTCAGCATCAATCAGCAATGATACAGCAATCTAAGCTGAAAGAATAAATACTATATAGTAGATTGCATAATATTATGATGACAGAAAAATTTAACTCTGGCTAAATGTGACAACTGCAGCGAACAGAGAAGACAAACAATAACCATACTATAATGTTAGAACAATGGAACACACTGTCAAAGATAAATATGTTAAACCACTTTCTAACTATTTAATGTTATTTCCTATAAGACAAATTAATATTAATACATTTTTTGTTATCTTGATCAATATATTAAAACAGTTTTAACTAAAAAACAAAACTGTCCTGTAGTGGCTAGAATAATAAATACCAACGGATACACATTACTAGTTAATTCTATTAGTAAAACGTAAAACTTTAGTTTGTTTTTTTGTTTTGTTTTATTAGTATTATATGCCAGTTATTTGCCATAAAAATTAAGCACAAGATTAATTTCTTATTCAACATTTTATGTCAAATTACTTACATAGATGTTGCAGCTGTCATGAGCAGATCCTAGTGGAACCTTCAATTGGAACACCTGGCCCACAACTGCTGAAGAATCAGGTATGTTTGTGTGCACGCCATCACTTTTTGCAGAAGCATTTGGGATAGCTGTTGTCGGCCCTTCACCTACAGATTCTGCTGCAGTGTGGAACTCTGAGAGCACAGAGGACTGCATAGAGGCTTCTAGTTCCACCGATATCATGTCCACCAGTGTGTCTTGCTGTTCTGACACGGAGCCATGAGCCAGGATTGCCAGAAGTCCCATTACCAGAGGGAGAGTCCTGTACAAAAGAAACCTGCTCCTCGTTGTATCCCCGCAGCTCATGGCTCTCAGTTTATAGTGCATAGTAGCCTTTGGGCTGCCCAACAGATGTCTATGAACAACTAAGAAGGCCACATGCACTTACGTCACTTTGATGATATGCTTGTGGGTCAGGATCCCTAGTGATTGGCTATGCTCATAAATGCAGCAGTTTCTCTTTCTTGTCGTCTGTGATCCATGAAGAGATCTTTGACAGCCTGTCAGATGGCCATGTCAGCCCCCCTATATGGGACAAAAACAGGAGACAAAACATGAATATGAAGCAGTACACAAACATGCAAACAAACTGTCAATGCAAAATAGCTGCAGTTGTATTGCTTAGGAAGGCAGTTTCTAGAGCGTGCCTATTCTACAAAATCTGTAAAAATACTTCACAAATACCATCACACACACATAGCACAGGGCATAACACAGTCTTTAAATTCAAAGACCCAATTGTGTATTAATATCAATGACACGTAATTCTTCACTTAAGGACAGGGTAATTAAATAATGACAATAATGTTCAGAACAAAGTAATTTAGAAAAGCCTCAACTGTTCCAAAAATACAGAACAACAATTTGTACACAAACTAATAGATGCATTCCACATGAAAACAGTTTTATCATTTATGCTAATGTTATAGATCTAAAATGTACTACTGTGTGGTGAAATGAAATGGGTCAGCAATAAATCAAAGTGATTAAAATCTGTGTCACAAAATAAATTATTGCTTTGATATATTACGTAAAGGATGAGGGGAAAAAGATCCGGGTGTTTTCATGCTACAATGTAATCAGGCAGGCAGTATAAAAAATAGTTAATGATAAGATAAAGTCTTTAAACAAATATATAAAATGCATTTAATTTCTCAAATGTTCAACACAACAGTGCCTTCTAATGTAAATTGTAGCCAATTTATTTATTTTTGCAAGATTCAGCTATATTTTGGGATTTAAACACTGACCTACTGAATGCAATAAACAGAGTACAAGAGTAACTGCTGACTGCCTGATTTTGAATTATATTTATGGCATTTTGAGTTACAGCAATTCCCCTGAGATGCAGAAATGTCAAAGGTTGTTTGCCTTGATTGTAAGATTTAATTAGAGAATCCAGGAGTTGGATTTAGGAGCCTTCACTCTGCTGACCCCACCAACTTTTATTCTGTAACACTCAAAAGGGTAGAGGAGGGTCAGCCATTAGACTGGAATCCTAATGGCTGTCTGGCACATGATTGTGACATCAACCAATACATCTAATGCTGTTCCTGCTCTGAACCATGTGCAAATACATGCTTTTCACCTCCTAAACGTTACAAAAAAAACCCCACAAAATGATGTTAGCAACAACAGACAGTCCCTCTAAGAATAGCCTGTTCTATTTGACTATATCCACAAAGATTTTAATTTAAAGAGGAGCAAAAAAAGGAAAAATTAAATTGCAGGAAAACACAATGTATTTACTCTGCATTGATAGGACACTCAGCTCAGAGTGAGCTATTAAATGCGTTAAACACAATGTGAAGGAGTAATTACTGAAATCAACCATGCATACAAAAAGGGGGAAGGGGGTTCAACCAGGAAAGTGACTGTGAGCCTCCAAATGCAATAGGTTTTAAATTAGGTCACCCCATTCATCTAGTTTTCTTTCAAAATGTTTAAGACTGACACTCAGTTAGATAAATAGTACTTACACATGAACACTAAAGACACATCGATAACATTAAGATTTGACTAACTTTTGACAAACACTGGTTCAACATCCTTGTTAGTGTTAAACAGGGTGGACTGTGCAAAACACCATAAAACGTAAAGCATGAAAAATATTGCCTATATTAGTATTATACAGACATGTGTACGTGTTAGCCATTCACGTTCTATAAAATCCTCTCTAATCAATGCTGTGCACTCCCATGGGGTTCTTTTGTTGCATGTCTGAATTCCCAGAGCAAACAAAAAAAGTGTTTTTTCCTGCTTCTATTCTTAGTAAAGACTTACAATACTGAGTTCTAGGAGACAACACATTAACCAGCATCCACTGATTTTTTTAAGCACAACGTTGTCAAATTAAATCATTACTGACAGCTATGTTTTGATTCAGACTGTATGAAAATGATCAAAGAGGAAGATGGTTTGCATGAACAGACTGAATGAGACGGAGCAGATAGAAAGAGAAAAATATGTACATGGAAAGGTTCGCCTTCCTGCTCACTGTTGTATGAAAAAGAAGAGCAACAGTCATCCATAAAGTACTAGTTTTGTTGCAAAAATGTGCGATTCAGGAGGGAAATCAATAAAGTTTTTGAGTTATTAGTAACGAATAGAGGTTATGAGCAAGTCTGCAGCTTAACAGGTCTGCTCACAGACAAACAGGGAAAAGTTGAGGTGGGGGTGAAAGAGTGGAATTTTATAATCTGACAGGATTGCAGCAAAGTCCATTGCTTCAACAGGAACCCTGAAAAGCCACTCCACAAAAAAATTAAAAAAATAAAATACGATGACAGCTTTTATTTCTAGCAATGGAATTTCATGTTGCTCTGAGATAGACTTCAACAACTGATTCTTGTTGAGTCAAGTAAAAAAAACATTCCGAGCATAAAAAAGTTCATATTAAAAAAAGTTTAAAACTGTAAATTATGTCTTGTCTCCATCTAAAATTAGTTACAATCTAAAATTAATCTCCATGAAAAATGTATGTGTGTTCATGTTTAGGAAGACACAGGCAATGGTTTTATTTTTTACTGTATTTGAGAAATCATTTGACATATTTTACAACAAAGCATGGCTGTAATGTTTGACCACAACATCCCTTTTATTGTAATCTGGTGGCTTTGTGGAGCAACATTAAAATGGTTTGAAGTGAACAAGGCTTTACAGGTTTAACATAAATTAAATTGTTACTTTTTTCCCCCTGCAGAAGCTATTTTAGTGGGAGGACATGTTGAAATCAGGGTTTGTTCTGGCTTTACAGCAGGTAGTACTTAGCTCAGAACCAGCAGCTGACCTCAGTATTTGGACACTTTTCTTGTAAGCAGTAAAACCATCAAATTTACAAGTCTGATGGTTGACATGTTCAAGCAGCCTGGGGTATAAAGACAACCCAACTAGCACATATAACTTACCACACAGTCTCCTTTCTGCGTGTGGATTTAAATGTTAGAGAGAAAAATAAATATTTTGGTACATAATACTATAGATAAAAAAAAAAATAATAATTATATATATATATATATATATATATATATATATATATATA